TCGCAGAGGACGAAAAAAACTTTCTTTGCTCTCTGCTGTGTGTGTTTAATTATGAATGAGCCGGGGTCTAACCAAGAGGAAACGAGAATATATTTTATGCGCGCACGTTATTGTGTGCATTTTGCTGTTTATCTTTTGACATCCTCCGTGTCCAATTAAGGCGCACCAGCCATTTACGTCTTGTACAAAAAAAACAATGCAACAATGCTCTTGCTAATAAAAACAAGAAGTGATGTGGGCGAGCAGGCGAAATGGACACGATCGATTTACTTGCGTAAGTTGGTTGGGGATTAAAAATAAAAAAAGTAAAAGTCTGAAGACGAGCTAGAGGAAGGCGAGTGCGCGGGAAAGGTCACCTCCCGAGGAACAAACTCGTCTTTCGTGCGTGCACCGAGGTGCAAAACGGCTTAAATGTCACTCGCGCGCCCTCGCTCCGCTGTTTATTCTTGTAATTTAGGCCACCGGTCATGAGCAGCTGGCCTGCGAATTTGGCACCTAAAGAGTTGTTTGCAATTGGGGCCGACTTCGCACACGCACCCACCGCGCCGCCTAATTTTAGAGGAGTCTCAACTTGATTTGTGTCTTTTAGCCACTCAAAAGTTTGCAAATTGTCCGAATGACATTTGTAAAAATGACTTCTGGCTTACACTTGTAATCCAGCCAAGATTGAAGATTAGTTCTCACATCCAAAAAGCTGTTTAAAAAACTACAGAAGAAAAGTTTTTAATCCATTTCAGTAAAATAATACACTATTAAGACTGATCTAGAATTGTTTGGTTCATCAATGAACACAAAATTCAACAATGAAAATCGACCCCGGAAATAAGTTCAAGGGGCCGATCAATATTGCAAAATTGAAATTGGAAAGTTCCTTGGCCTCACAAAGGAATCCCAATATTTCTATTAGCAGATTGAAAAGTATTTTTGCTCACGATCCAACACAAGGATAATAATAAATCAGCGCACCAAATCATGTTTTGACAATAAAACTTCCACCTACTGAAAAACACCCACACCTGGGAGCGATTGCTTGGCACTTTTTTCCCACAAATCTTAAACAGCTCGTGCTTTTTTCAGAATGCTTTCGCACCGTCACTGTCAATAATGAATATTGCGAGACTCTTCTAGGCAGATACTCTTGTGAGAGGAAAAGCGACGAGATTCTCAATAATCTATTTTCAATTTTTTTGTCCGCGAGTCTTTCTTGCACTGAGCCATCAATTAAAAAGCGATTCAAGGCACTACTTATATGATCGATTGCCCTATGGTGACGTTCGACCTCAAGTAAATCAGGATGTGGAATAAAGAAGTGAACGAGGTGGATTACCTTGGCGCAGGTTGCCATTGTACACACAATCTCGCATTACCATTGCAATCGCCTACACGTGGCGCGAATTCCACTTATTATTGCAATTCTAATGAGCTGCAACCTTTGTAAGTCTGCCGCAGCCGGCCTGCTGGTCATTATTTATTAACAACTCCTGCAAACAGATTATTATCTAGAAAATAAAATGCATAAGAAAAAAAACGAGAGCGTGCTCTGCAATTTTTACCTCATCGGCTTCGGTTGCGCAACAGGATAGCGAATTGTCTTTTGTGCATGTTCTTCTGCAAAAGTGCTCGCGGTCGAGGCTTGCGATTTTCAGAGCGCGACTTCACACAAGAAAAGAACAAATAAAGGTGCAGGTCGTGCGCGCACAATGCCGCGCGATTTCTCCTACTTACTTCGCATGCAGAAATTGAGAGCCCGTGCAAGTGAGAGTGTGCTCGGCCGCGCATTCCTCCGCCATGTGCACGCGAATAATTCAGTTTAAACGAGCCGAGGTCAACAACGAATGTGACAGAGAAGCAGATGCCAAAATTTTAATTTGACTGAAAGGAATTACTTTTTCCCGTAATGTGCCATTAGCTTGTGTAATGTAGGTAAAGCAAGGGTTAAATGGAGAGATGAGCGGCAGCTGTGCAGCCTCAAGTGCTATACATTTATTTATTTTTTATTCCAATTAAGAAGAGCTGAGTGATTTTCTATTCATTGGCCAAAGCAGATTCAACAGTTATTATGAAGCATTTTTTTTTTTTTAATATTATAGGAGAGAATAAAACTAAAATATATTTTCATCCCCTCTCGTTTTCAACGTTGCCAACTTTAAATTTTTCAATTATAAATTTATAACAATATCATTTTTAATTCAAAATGTTCTGCAGACTACTTATTAAAAATCTTACCAACAGAAAAAAAATAAAATTTAAAAGCATTAAAATTAATTCTATCAATAGCTCTTATACTAAAGAATTATATTTTTAATTTAAAATTCTGGCAGTTCAACCTATTTGAACTTCTCCCATCCCTGCACGATCCAATGTTGCCAACTAAATATGTATTTGCAATCTGGCAGTGATTCGCCTCTTGCGAATTGAATCATTTGCAGCAACAGTTTTCACTCGCGCCAAAGTTGAGTCTGAACGTGACACGCTTCGTGCGCCTCGACTGGCTGGCCTACTAACACGAGTGGCCTACAGCCCATTGAGTCTTCTTACTCTGCCGGTCCGACTACTTGCACTTTCTCTGACGCGCCGGCGAAAATCAGAGAGAATGAAACCGCTCATTATACAAAATATACGCGGGTCTAGGCAAAGAAGAAGAAACTCGCCGCCCGTGGCATTTTATCAACAAACACACATCAACAAAAAAGGTTGCTGCGAAAAGGTCAGCTAATGATATTTGCCCTGCCATTTTGGCGCGTGACGTCACGGCGAAACGCACTTGTAATGAAATGCATAGCGGTTGAAAGAAGAAGTTTTCAACTGGTGGAATAATGCGAACTCCTTTGAGAAGATCAAAGGAGCTCCATCAACGATTATTTCGTCGCTTCGTGGAGAGCGAGAGACGCCGTCTGCCCTTTTTGTGCGCCGGCTGGAATTGGATGTTTCTGTCATTAGCTGCATGTCTGAGTGACTCGGGTCGTCATAGTTGCGCCTGGAGAGAGAGCAAACACCCCAGCGTCTGTTGCTCGTCGAGAGCATTAGCGAAAATTAACTCGATCTTCATGCATACAATATCAAATCGAATTTCTGCGTTTGACGTGCTGAGTTTTGTACAAAGGATTTATTTATACCGCACCTGCCGCACTCACTTGTTTTGAATAAGGAGCATCCATCTTGCGACTAATGACAGCTGCGGCTTTTTATCCCGGCGAGCAAGAAAGCTCATTAATCAGCCAGGGTAGTCTAGCGTGGAATAGATTAGGTGGATGAGAGGAGAGCAGAGAGAAATGCTACTTAGGGATATTGAAAACGTTGCGCCATGACGTGCAGCAGAGAACGTAGATTGTGTTTCATAATGTTCTTTATAATGGTCTTGATAAAATTGGAATTTAAAATGAGGAATTTCAAGAATGAATTTTGTGAGGAGAAAATGCAAATCTTTAAATTTTTTGTGTAATTAAAAATAGTCTGAAAATATTGCACTCACATTGTTGATATGAATTTCATCAAGAATTAATTTCTCATTTTGATCAACAAAATCCCTTTCAATTTATTTACTTTTCATGTTCCATAAAAAATCAAATAAAAAAAATTATAAGAACTATTTCCCTTTTTCTAAACTAAAAAAAAACCCACAACAATTTTAATGACAAGTTTATACAAGAGTTGGCGCAGAACGATCCCAAGCAAAAACGAATTACTGTAGCACAATAAAAGCAATTCGGTCTTTCTCTCGCATGTCCTGAGCGCGGCGTGATTACTGCACAAAAGAAAATAATAAGGAGCGAGTGCACGTCTTCTCGTTGCCCCTTTTCCAAGAAGAGACGACGCCAATTGCGCGGGGCCTTTTTGCTGCAGCACCCGTCGGGCCGACGCCCATCGAGTTGCAGGACCAACCCTGACCTGGGCCAGAGCGCGAAATGTGCGCCGAGGTCGTTCACCCCCGCTCGATAGCCCGGGCCGCAGCTTCCGCGAGATTTCAGCAATTACACAAACCACCCACCCACCCGGCCATCCATCCACGCCCTCCGCTGCGTGCTGCAGCCGCTGCTGCTGGCTGCGGCGACAGCGCAACAACCATGCCCTCGCACAACATCGATTTTCGTGCCGTTTCGGTGACGTCTCTGCCGCGCCCGCCCGCCCGCCCGCCCCAAATGCGCCACCCTTGCTTTGTTCCAAGATCCCGGTACGCAGGCGGCGGACCTCTCTCGCCGAGGGCAACGCTCCCGAATGCTCTATATTTAACTAAATGTGCGGGCGGATGAATCGCATCCACGCGACTTCTCATTTTTGATCAAAAGTTCGTCATTAAATCCAATTTGTTTCACTGCTGGATCACAAACACCTGACTAGGTTCGTTTTAATATAAAATGTCCACCGCACACATACGGGGCACAATAAGCCGAGTGTTGGCCCAAAAGATTAAAAAAGATTACGCGGCGTGTGCTGCTGTTTTTTCGTACTTGCAAGTACGGCGCTCTGTATGCATAGCTAATCAGATTTCTTTGCAGCCGGAGATTTAATCCGCGGCACAGAAGCTCCCGCGGTTTGTTTGAACACCCAGCTATGAATTTCTAAAGGGTGCAATGATCTCATGTATCATTCAATAAATCAACAGAATCCGATTTTGTGCACGATAAAACTACATATTCTTTCCTATTAATTTTTGATGAATAATGGCTTGAATTAGAATATTTTTACAATCACAGTTGTTTCTTTTATCAATATTTTCATGAATTTAATTGCATTTTTTTAAAGGGAACGAAATTTCTCATTTTGCGAACTCAAATCAAATTCTTGTACGTTGCAAAATAAGTCATATTTTGGTAAAGACTCGTTAAAATATTCAAACGTGAAAATTTCAACAACAAAATTAGCCCGATGAAAACTGAAATCTAATTATCTAAGGATTATTCTATAGAGTTGATAAAATAATTTTTCCTCCCAATAAAATTCTACGTTTTGAATTTTGGCGTCAAACGTTTGCAGTTAAAAAAAAATGATAGTGTACTCACCAATCTTACCGTTGGGGCTGTAGGGGTCGTAGCTGCCGGAGGAGAGGGGTGAGGAGTAGCCGTTGGACAGAGCGCCCGCGCTCGTCGAATGGTACCCCTGGACGCCGCCGATCGCTCCACCGGAGCTGTTGGCGTTCTGGAATGTGGACGAGGGCGAGAGAGGGTCGAGCGAGGTCTGTCCCGGCGACGGGATCCAGCCCTCGTCGTGACGGGCGCGCTTGCTCGTGGTCGGCTGGTCGCCGCAGGGCGAGCTGGTGCGCGGCTCCGTCTTGATCACCACCCCGTCGTGGATCCTGAGGAGGCCTTCGGACAGACCCTTGGTGGTGAGTGGCATGGCGCCAGTGGCGCCGCCACTGCCGCCACCGCGAAACATCATTGCTGCGGCGCTGGGAGACTCGTGCTTCAGGTCCATCACCGAGTGCTGGATCACGCTAATGGTGGCCGGTTGGGGGTGGCGGGGGCGGGTGAGATCCAGCTGGGAGGCTTTAGCGAGCACGTTCGTCGTGGCAAATTTGCTCACTCAGGACATCGGCCAACTGAAATCAATCAGGAAAGATTCATTAGTTTATTTTTTCATGTTTCTCACAATCAGAGTGACTTGACAAGAATGATTATATTTCAAAACCTCCATGATGAAATTATTTACAATTATAAGAATAAAGTTGAACAAAAAGTGCATATTTAATGAGAAATAAATTTGAATTTTGTAGATCGTGGCGATTATAATTTTTTTCAAATAATTATCAATGACCTAACATTAAATTGGTTGAATTAGTTTTTTTTTATTTATTTATTTTTTTTTTTGGGTCAGGCCAAGACAAAGTCTTGTCGGCCTGTGCCCTTTTTAGTGGCGCAGAAGGCGCCACTCAATTTTGTCTTTTTTTTATTATTAATTTCAGTTCATTTATTTAGTTCATTTATGTGTTTTAAGTTACTCCATTAGATATTATGTATGAACTTTGTTTACTTAATCAAAGGTATTATTTTAATTTATTAGTCCATCTTTATATTTTTGCTTACTGATTTTTTTTTTATTTTGAATTGATCCTTTTTTACGTGATATGTTTTAATTTATTCACGTTTAATTAAATAATATTATATGTGCTCATTAAACAGACAATTCTAAATATTTTCAGTCTATTTTTCATGATTTTATTATGTAGACAAAAAAAGATTATTTTTGGAAAGCCCCATTTTCCTCTTTCCATGGCGTGTGCTTAATATAATCCCACATGCACGTGAAAATTTATGTATTAATAACAAATCGCATTAAAAATTTAATAGTTTTTCTATAACCAGACGTGAATGCAGCTTTGCAATGAAAGAGGTGTGCAAATAAATACGCTAGTCTGGCCATAAATAAAAGGGAATGATGAACGGCCGGACACCGGTCGGCAGATAATTAATTACGAAGAGCGCAGAATGATAAATCACGCCCGCGCCATTATTTAAAATCGCCGTTTGCTTGGCTTGAATTTATGCGCGAGCCGAGCCAAGAGTCAGTCGCCGGCCGACCGGCCGCTTGGCTGGTCTTGGATGCAAACACACAATTCTCGGACGCTCACGTTTCGTCGCCGCAGCTTAGCACAGCCAGCCGCATTGCAATGCAGCTTTATCTTTCACGGTCACCTTAGCCGCGAGCAAGGCACAATGGACACAGAGAGCCGTCCAGAGCAATAAGTGCAAACAGCAGATGTATGCATGCACTTTGGCTCCAGACTCGCTCAGATAAGATGCATGCAAAGCAGCCTAGTGTACGAACTGTGGAAATAAAATGCACAAATGTACATATACAGCTGCAGATGATAGTAATCATCGGACTAAGTAAGGAATTTTGCAAAAAAGGAAAATTTGAACCAAAATATTAAAAAAAAAAATTTCTATAAAATTTGTGTTTACAGTCTATTATTTATTCTTTTGTTAGTCTATTTGCTTTTCTCCTTCAATCAGAACCACGTGACCTCTCTGATTTATTGTTATTTACTGAATTGAACCGCTGTCGCCGATGAAGATGGCCGTGACCCCGCCGGGTCATGCGAGACACACTCTGGGTCAGCCCGGCGGTTCACATATATAGGTTGACGTATATAAAAAACTGATAAGCCGCTTCCGAGCTAATTAATTTTTGTGATCTATTTTAATGAATGATTCCAGCTTTGCAGTAAAAAATAATTCTGCTGCGATGGCGTGTGCGAGCATTGTTTGCAAAAGCATCTCGTTCTGGGTCATTAATTAGGAACGCAGAAACAACGATGCGAAACGAAACGTCCACTCAAATTACACACACACAAGTTGTTGTGCCTTATTCGTTTTATTTCCATCAGCATTGGCCGGCGGCAGGCGAGCTGGCAATAACAAAAACGTGATTTGCATCGTTTACTCTCTTGTGATGATGGTATGAGCGAGAGTAAGGTGGGGCTAAGGAAGATGCTGCGATAAACCTGAGAAGAGAATCCTGAGTAAGAAAACGACTTGGGCTGACTGGCGGCCATTCGGCTGCTGCGTGACTCCAACCCTTTGGCTCGCTCATTAAAAATGGCACAGCAGCGAGTTGCTTGATCAAGCCACTTCCGACCAAGGACACGCAGTGAGGATTTTTCGCCTCGAGTGTGCACAAACACGAAAGAGTATAAGGAAAATCAAGAAAAGAGAGAGAGAGACTCAAACTGCACATCGGTGCAGAGGATGAGAAATGTGAAGCAATCTTCTCGACTAAAAGCTTTTCGCAAAAGGCGAGATGATAAAAAATTAAATTGCAACTAAATGCGTTTATTATTTCAAATTGAATTGGAGTAGGAAGTCCCTTTTTAATCTGATAAGAATAAACGGCACAGATTCGCCCTCAAAAAATAATTATTTTAAATTACAAATATTATGGCTTTATTTATGGAATTTGGAAATTTATTTTTAAAAACTGTACATTTTACTAGCTAATTTTGAATACAACTGAATGAGAAAAGGCATCTCTTTTCTGCATTGAATTCTGAAGAATGAAGCATTGTGCAGGCATTGGGGAATATGATATTTGATCATATTTTGCGTTAACGTTTAGCTTAAACGTTGAACTCATTTTTGGGAATCGTCGAAGGATTGAAAATTATAAAAATTTCATAATTCAATTACATTTTTATAACATTGAAATTAGCAAATTATTAGAAATTAGCCAATAATCTCTCATATATCTTCCCCCACCAGCTTACAATGTTGCCGTTGCCAACTGATTTAGATTCGTATGATGCAGGTTCAAAAACGTTGAATGCATTGTTATTTTTTAAGGAGACCACGTGATTCGGATGCCTTTCGACCTGACTGATTTGCATGCTAATAACATCGTCAATTGCGAGCCATATCTCCTCCTCCTCCCCCGAAAGCAAGAGGCGGAGAGAATGCTGCTGTGCCGTCGGTTGTGTTGCAAAGTTGTCTGTGTTTCGCCGCAGCCGCATATATATATTTATAAATATACACATTTTGCGTTTTTTGCCGCGACGAATGTTGGTTGCGCGCGCGAGGCTGGCAATCCTTATTTTCAAGGTGATCCAGCGGCCATATAATAATAATCTTGAAAAATGCCTTCACCAGGCACACAAGCAGGTGACCATGCATGCTCGCGCTGTTCTGGTTTTTTTTCGCGAGCGCGCGAGAGAGGAGCCAATGCGGCGAAGTCTTCCTTTACCGCGCAAAAGGCCTTCCTAATTGGGCAAAATCACTCTCGGGCCGAGTTGTAAAAATTCGGCGGGTTAATTATTTCGAATGATGGCGGAGGAAAAAGAAAGAGTAGTTTGTTGTTTGGTGCAAACACACTTTCGGGCCGAGCGAAAAGTGACGCTGACGTAAGTGGCGAGAAACAAGGATGTGCGGAATGACTTTCAAGAAAATCTGCGCTTTGTCCCCGGCAAAAGCGAATAGGCCTTTATTTAATTTTTTTTCCTTCATTCAGCCTCTTGAACTTGAACTCTAGACCCGAAAGTTGCCGCGTTCGGGAAAAAAAGTGCCCAGTTTGCTGTACTAATGGAAGAGGAACGTTGGCAAATGTGGGTTAGCTGCGAGATCAGCAGCCGAGTGCATATATAATTAGGAGGCGAGCGAACTGTCAGCAGTTTTGCAATTAGAGCAAAGGGAGGAAAATTGGACGCTTCTGCTCTGACGAGCACATTAGCGACGAGAAAAGACACAAAGGCAGCCAATTTGCCGACAGAACTCCTTCTTCTAATTGCAAAAACCTGCGGCCGACATTAATAAAAATTCATTAAAAGTCTGCGACCGATTCTTTCTTATTTGCACTTGCTGTTAATTAAAAAGAGCGTCTGGGGTTGCGAATAACGGCGGCTCCTTTATAAGTGCGTGTGGTTCTCACTCCGGGGCTATTATGTTTCACCAACAAAAAGTATGGCTTGTTGGAAGCGCAACAAGAACAAGGCTTGTTGCTTGTAGAGTCGCTCAGCTTTTTTTATCCATGCTGAGGCAAAAATTAAAAAAAAAAAAAAAAAAAAAAAATAAGAACAAAAACAACTGTGGCGAAAAACACTTTATACGTCGATTTTAGAGTTTTATGCATGTGCAGTTGTTTGAAAATTTTGAGGCATCGGTGCGTGTAATTGAACGACCCTATCACATTCACTATAGCCGCTCTTAACAATCGATCAACAAAACAACTTTGGAGGAAACGTAACAAAAGCAATTAAGTCTCGAGTGAGTAAATTACAATTCAAGCTAGCAGTTTCATGCCTCCTTAAATGTCATCATGCAAGTCAAGGCGTCTGAGTAAATTAAGTTTTCAACCTCTAAATTGCTTCTTTTTGTAATTCAGCTTGTAAAAAATTGAGATGAAAGTGAATAAAAATATTCAATTACTAAATTTTTATTTCACCTAATTTTTATGCCTTCAAAAACATAATTAAATAAAATAGCTCTAAAAGATTTATATTAATTAAAAATGTTTTAACAATATTATCGCCACGTCATTTTATTTGCATTAGAGCTTTGTACGGAAAATTTATTATGACTAAGTTAGCGAAGAGCTTGCAATCATGAAAATTAACGTGACAGAGTGACAGGGAGGATTGTTGTCAATTTATCCTCTCATTCTGCGCATATAACAGAGAGGCGGATACTGCAGCGAAATTGTGCCGGTGCTGAAAATAAATCCCCACATGCGGCGTTCTCATAACAACGCCAATCACATTTCAAAGGCTGTATTATTGACACCCCGCTGGAGAGTCACTCAATCCGTCAATATCTGTATGAAATCTCGTCCGATTGATGCAATTGCACACCGGGGTCGCGCAACATGCAGATTGCAGAACAACAGAGGAGGTGTCGGATGCTGAAATTGAAACGCGAAAGAGAGACAAATTGCGAAATCGGCGGCGGCACGAGAGACGCGCGCCTCGGAGATGCGCCGAGGCTTGGCCCAGGTCGGGAGCGAATAATTGTGCGACGGCTGCTCCTATAAATCTCAATCCGTAACAAACCCGTGCCAAATTTTTCACTCCTACTCTCGTCGCGAAATAGAAAAAGACAAAAGCGAGATAAACAAAAATAGTGCTGAACTTGAATGGAAATAAATTTCTCAACCTGTCCATAAAAGAAAAATTTATGCAAAAAAAAAGAGTCGATATCAATCTTTGTTCTCTATTGCAAAAGACGGAAGCGTTCTTTTTTTCATCATCCCCAAGGTTATTAGTCTAGTCGGTATGCTATAGTCAATAAAAATGCATGGTGATTTTTCTGAAAGACGAGGTGCGCCCTTTGAGCTCGGAGTGATTGAATAAGAAGGATGAGATGCATGTACCGCACCGAGCGACAGGGCGTCCTTTGTGCTCGATGTTCACTTCGCCGCCCATTAATATTCCATCGGCAAAAACGACGAACGAGAATAAGGAGAGGCGGAATTGCTTCTCGCGCATGTTTGCCCAGCTCTTCCTTCGTGCCGAGCAAAAATTAATTCGTGCCGCCGAGTCGCTGGCAAAAAACGAAAATCGAGCTTAGTTAGCTCGTCTATTATTATATACCCATTCTACACTCGCACATCTTGGTAAATATGGATGAAACCTTGTTCGTTCCGCGAATAGATATTGAAGTGCTAAAAGCCTTTGAGGGCCTCTTTCATACATGCAAATTTTAAGAAACGCAGAATTTCAAATAAAAAATTAAATATATCTTTCTTTTCTAATTTTTTTTTGTAAATAATTTTTCGTTTGCCTTGTTAATTAATAAATTTCTACTAAAAGTCGCTATTTTATATTTTTCGTCTCTTATTCCCCGCACACTTTGATTAAGAAAAAGCACTTTGCAGGCAGCTCACCAACGCAAATGAGGTGGAAAGCTCGTCTTACGCAAATGAAGCCCGTTTCCAATTTGAATAAAATTTTCCACCGCCCTCCTGAGCACAAAGGATGTATAAAAAACTCCATTCTCTCTGTTATATATGAATAAGAAAACCCGCAGCAGTAGCGCTATATTTTTTTTGTCATTTTTCTCACACGTATATATAGAAACAAAAATCACGCAGCAATTTATGTATTTTATATATATTTGAGGAATGTATACGTTTTCCTGGTGGCGCGAGAGGCAGAGACGCAATTTTTTTGCGCGCTGCACGTCGCCGTAATGATGCTGATGAGATCTGAAGTCGCAGAGAAAAATGATGAAAGAGCAGCGAGCGCAGTCCTTTGACTCGCTCTGCAAAAAGAAAAATAAGGTGCGTGTGCGTCCGACGATGATTAATTTCTCATCACGCTTTTGCAATTCGCTTTTGCACTACGCAATACCGAATGCGATAGAAGAGATAAAAAGACACAAGAGGGTCTTCAATTTTGACACACATTCTTATCGTCTGATAACGAAATTAAATTTTGTTTCATAAGTGAATGAGGATTTAGGAGGCTCTTGTGACTTCTATTTGTCACTCGAGTTAAAAAAAATCGCAACATTAAAACAAGATATGATGTACGATAGATTATAAATTAAAAATTTCCAGCAAAACTTTATTTCTAACTAAATTTTCTGAAGGAATTATTTTAAAATTTTTTGCTTTTGATTCATTAGGGCTAAAAATGATTGCAAAATGAGCCAATAATAACGTTGAAAACATGCCCAGTGGGACATTTTCCCACCCTCTGGCAAAATTTGTGATAAGTGATAAGAACAAAAACAGTCTACTGAGGCTCACTGCGGCGGATGGGGTCTTTTTGATCTCGGATGTTTTAGCAAAATCATCACTAGTGGTGATGCCGTTTTGTCCAACAACAATTTTTTTGTTTGTTTTCAACTTTCAACAATTGCATATAAACAATTTGATGTAACAATGTAGGCAAAGTAACTAAACAATAATTTATTTACACAAAACAATTAAAATTTAAAATTAAATTTCTTCTCTGATTTTAATTTATTCACATATTGTTTTCAAGCCTCTGAATTGCAAGTGAGAGGGTAGAGAGGGAAGTGGTCCATCGAGTAATTGACACCAATCATTAGCCTCGGCGTGACGCTGAGTTGGCCGAGGACTTGATTGGCGTGCACTTGACTGACCCAGGCCGCTGCATTTGCGATGAATTGGACGGAATTGTTTTCAATTGTGCAATTTGCAAATCTCTTTTTGTTTGATCTCGGCGCTAGAAAGAAAAAATTTGAGAAACAAGGGCAGTCGTGCTCAACTATTAACCTGAATACATCAGAATGCACATTCAAATGAGCCGCACCGCGAGATAAATATTTAAAACGCGCGCTCGGCAAACAAACGCCGATTTTCCCTTTTGGCTCTCGGCGGGCGTTGTGCGAGGTTAGTACTCGAGGTTAGTGCTCCGCCGGCGTGCAGTTTGCATCTCACTAGGCAGGTGGTGAGCGAAAAGTTCAAACAGCATCCCTTTATGAAACAAGCGCGCATGATTAACGCGCGACACACGTCACTGACGCTTTTTTGTTTCGCCACGGCATGACCAAAAAAAGTTTCCTAACTCAAGTTGTGCGCAATTCATACTTGCAAAATGGTCCGATAAAAATATCCAAAAAATTTTAAACACAAATGAATCAATTTAATTACTCAAATCCATTTAAATAAATACTGATTACAAAAATGTATATTATTAAATTTTCCAAATTTTTTTAAAGTTTACGATGAATAAAAAAAGTTATTCTAAATCGCAATTTAAACCTCATTTTTGTAAATGAACATTAAATTTAAAAGTTTCTTTTAAACTTTTCTTGTTTGAAGCCTTTTCCGTTCAAAATTTTCATTCCTTTCGCTCCCCTCTCTGGCTTGCAAAATCACTCGGTTGCAGAAGCATCGCGGCGACATGCAATATGAATAACGCATAACGTGCCATATTTGCATATTAAGACGGATGGACGGACGAGACGAGATGGAGGCTGGGTGTGCGTGCAACACAATGGGGCGAATCTAATGCAACATCGGGCGTGGCGGGCTGGTTGCCTACGAATGCGGGGCATCGCATCGGAATTTGTTCTGCATACGCTCTGTGCGTCTGACGTTTCGACTGATTTGCACACAATGACGGGGCGCGCGAGACATGCCAGCGACGAATTTGTTTTTGCTGCGTGCCAAAAAGCGAACGACTGACAAGAGAGAAATAGAAAAAGAAAGAGGACAAGCTGTCCCCGTGGAAGTGCCAAGAGAGAAAAAACGCCTCAGCACTGCATCTCACAATCTTGAGGAATTTGTCCTCTTATAAATAAAAACCAGAGTTGAAAATTTTCAAAAGAAATCAACGAATCTTTAATTTGATACGAGTTAAAAATATATTTTAATTTATTTTATATTGATCTCTCACTACAAGGAGTGTTTATTTGAATTATGATGTACATGTATTATTATAGCATTGAAGGAAAACAAATCAAAAGATCAACTCTGATAGCTTTCTCTGGCTGACCTTAGTAACAACTGTATAAGGGGTATTAAATTTTTTATAATCATTTTCCTTTTAAATTAACAAATTTTAAAAATGAAATTATTTCTAATATTAATATAAATATTTACTCCAATTACTAAATTGATTAATAATAATAATGCCATCAATAAAAAAACTGATCTTTTTATTTGTGCATAGTTTTATAATTTCGCATAGTTTAAAAAAATTATATATTGTAATTACATTTTAAGCGACTTCCGTCAGCCTTCCCAGACTAAACAAATGTTCCAAACTCGAGCATACAAGGCTAACCTCTCTATTTTTTTTATCTTTCGCTGGCCGAAGTAGGGTATTAGGAGCTTTTTGGGGACCTCTTGGTGCGCGATTAATGGGTCTGATCGGGGGTTTAGAGCTTTTCGGTGTCCCTCTGCTGCTCTCGTGACCTTGGCAGTCCTTGCTCGCCAAAAGCACGTGCTTTGTACCGATAACAGCCGGCGTGTTTGCTTTTGACGTAACGAAAGCAAAGACAATTTCAAAGCAGACAATTTGAGCTTTGTCCGTGGAATATTACACAGCGCCGGGCCTTTTTTGTTTGCCCAGTTCGTCATGTTCGCTTTCGAAACGCGCGGATTGTGCGAATTGACGGACTAACACACAAAGGCGGAAGGCGATAATTCGCCGGGCCGCGCGTGTATTTTGCAAGTTGGCTAAGAATATAATAAAAAACAACGGTTCCATTTGGGCTATGTGTCGCGCGTGTTATTGTGCGGCGGCCGAGTGCGCGGGGTCTACGAACGATAAGATAAACGCGCTGCCAGAGAAGAGATTACGCAACGTGCTCTGCGCTTGGGAAAAAAAGTCGACATCCCGGGCACCTCTCTGTATCTTATCATTATATTATGGAGCGTGGCTTTTCGACAATGCAATAAATGCGGCGGGGCGAAAAAATGCATCTCCAATTAATGGAAGGAAAACACCCGATACTCGAGGGAAATTCAGCACCGGTGCCTCTCCGATCGCTAATGGATTTTGCCATTGTTCCGTCGAAAGCTAAAGAAAATATACTTCAGAGAGCCAGAAGTCGAATGGCGAGAAGGAGATTTCTTGTAAGTGCACAGACTAGCCAACCGAATGGATTTCATTTCAAGTAAATTACAGTTCACCACCTTATTCTTTCATAATTCATACATGCCTAAATTTAATTTTATTTAATTTGAAATTTCAGAATTCGCAATATTTTTTATTAAATTAATATAAGACAGGATAAAACAAGCAATTTTTTGAGCTGGTATCTTTATTACCTTTTAAAGCGAATATTTTGTTTGGGAGGCCAAGACTACAAAAACATCAAACGAGCTTCAAACTTAACATTACGTGATTCACTTAAAGCAATTTCAATTTATATGCCGTTATTCTATTGGAAAACTGATTTTGTTGGGCTGTAATAGCTGCACTTCTGTTTGCAAAGCTGCTTGGCGCACAACAGATCAAGAAGCAGATAAAAGTTTTGAACTGATGGAAATTAATAATCCTAGAAACAGACCTAAGATTTAAAGTTTAATTTAAAACTCGACAAGAATTCATTTAAGATTATAATTTTATTTTTGCAATAAATTGTCACACTATGAATAAAGCAAAGCTCAGTGGCGCACCTTTTACATTTATTAGAAATGATTTAAACAAATTATTTTGTCCAGGTCTATTAGAGGTATATTGAAGAGGCTTATTTAATTTGATTTCCGGAATTCGAGGGAGAAGCATTTTTACGCGTCTATATAATCTCACCCGCTGGCCACTCTGGTGCGTAATTACGTTTGGAAGCAATCTTGGGAAAATGAGACGGGAGCAGATCTATTTCCTACACGTCAAATGGAATTATTTTTCCCGCAGGTCCCTCGATTCTAATTTCGGCTGAAGAAGAATAATCCACGTCACGTTCGATTGTCGGCTAGCTTTGGTGCCACCGCAGACGAGGAAGGAATGCGGTGCTGCACGCATCGCCACTGCGGCCCAAAGGGTGAACTGCACTTTTCTTGGGCAAAGTGCTGGCAGAATACTTGAATATTCTTATAGGTTGTGGCTGCGGAAACTCACGGGCAGCAAAAAGCTGCTGCTCATGGAAGTTTTGGCTTTGAATATGCAAATGGCAAGTTGCAAACTCTGCGGTCAAGAGTTGGAAATAAAACTTCAGACGCGACAGACGATTAGAATTTTGCCTTTTTAGTATGCAAGAGGTCTTTTGTGACGTTTTATTAATTTGTGAACAAATTTGATTTTTTTTAAATATTCCTTTCAATACTATTTTTATTTTTTAGAGAAACTTTTCCAGCATTTAGTTTTTAATTATATACTACTGTGTTGATTTTCAGCATCAACAAACAGCAAAGAGTTTTTATTTCACTTAATATCAGATAGATTCAAAATGATTTATTTCCTTGTTTTCCTGCACTTAGATCTTGTGCAAAGTGCGTGAAAATCAGTGTAGCGTTATTTGGTTTGGCGACTTCCCTTCTCGGAATTCGCCACCATCAGAGAAGAGACCCAGGGTTTGATATCAGATGCCGGCGTGAGTAATGCTGCGAGCTTATGAGGGGGCGCACAACCGTCTACTTTTACATAACGGTACTTGCGAGTGTGCGACGGATCAAGCAAGACACCATCCAACTCCCCCTCTCGCGCGCCTGCTGGGTTTTTACCTGCGCTTTCCTCCTCAGCCTACCTGCTGCGAGTAAAAAAAGAAAGAAAGAAAGGTCCGCCATGCGGGTTTTTGTAGAATGAAGAAGAGGGAAACATTCAGAGATTTCCACAACGTGATTTTGCACTTAAATAATATTCTAGAAGTAGAATGAATCTTATTTTCTCACATAGCAATAAAATCGTACCATTAAATTGTCAATAGATTTTTCTTTTTTTAGCTTATTCCTAATTTTTTTCAGGAATATATTGAGATACAAAAATTTGGGTTTATTTCACAGCTTTTTGTATTTGTTTGTCATATTTTTTTTTTTTTTATCATTGGCTGCTATGGAAAGAATGGAAGCAGGGACATAAAAGTGTCTCTCTATTTTAATCCCCGGGGCAGAAAAAAGGAAACTGTAAAATGTAAAGAGCTGCTCCAGGGGCTTGGAATTTATGGTGGCGGCTGTACGGCGCTGACGATGCGGTTTCCGACCGAGGGATGCCGCCGCACCACCACTGACCATAATAACAATAACGACGCATCAACCCGTTCGTTCCAGCCAGAGGTGAACAGACCCTATTGTCAGTCGCTCCCATTTTTTCCTCCTCCTTTTTATTCTACCTGAGAAAGGGTTGAATGCTTGCGGCTTTCTTTCTTTTTCCTGCACTCGGCGGCTGCAGGTAGCTGACGTCACGCACCTGGACAAACAGGACGCGTCTTTTCTCAAAATGATTTCACAATTTCGCAATTTTCAGCAACGAGAGACACTCCTCGGAGTGTTTCTGTGGAATTTCAGGAGACCTTGAGAGGGGCTTATTTTTTTCCACCGAAAAAACCTAAACCGATTTATTTTTAATTTCCAACGGTCAAGTGCAGCGCAGTGGAAAATCCAGTGGTCAAAACAGACTCATTGTTTGCCCAGCACAATCCACTCTCCAGAGATGTTTCTCTAAAAGGCCAACGTGTTTTCGTTTCCATTAGTTTTTCCTCTCCCGCACGTTTTCCATCAGGTAGAGCGAAAAAAAGAAAGATGGTTCTCTTATTTTTCTCTTTTCTCCCCAGCATGATCGACAACATTCCACCAAGCTTTGTTTGCTCTTTTGCCACCCCCTCCCCTCCGAGCAACGGTCCACCTTGAACCGACAACCCTCCTTAGCTGCTTTCACCTGAAAGAGCTTCCTGTTGATCGCTTGAAAAGGATTAAGGCCTTGACCGCCGTTCGAGATTTAATTGACCATTCATTGCTGCCAGAGAAAAATTTGGGTTCTATTGTTGCGGCGTCGATTCCCACGAGTGCAGTGATAAAAAGGAGGGACCTTCGCTAATTAGCCTCAGCAGTCGGCGAAAGAAGCCAAGGCTCCGACGAGGCCAAAATCTTAATGCAGTTGGCGCGCAAAAATGAATCAAAAAGAGGAAGAGGAAGGACGTGCGCTGCAGTTTGATAGCGAAAGAAATCTAATCAAGCGGAAATGCTAAGGAAAGAAGAGAGAAAATAAAAAAAGGAGACAAAGCCGGGTTGTTTACGAAGTAAATTAGATAGAGGGCACTTAAAATTCCTAGGATGTTTGTCAAGAACTGGGATATAAATCAAATGGAGGTTTCATTCTCTCTCAAGACTACTTCTTAATAAAATTGGAGGTATTATATTTTTATTTACACTGTGAAAAAATAAAATAATTATATAATAATACAAAATTAATATTTCTTTTTTTAATTGTGCATTCGAAATTGTGAGATGGTGCGGACATGCATGAGCGAAAAAGATCCCCCTCCTTTTATTTTAGAATTTCGCCACCCATTAGAGAGTTCCTTTCTCTGCTCGGCGCCCGAGCTGAAAAATTAACTGCTGGGGGAGCTCGAGGGGGTGAAGAGCCTCGCTTGCATCCCTCTTTAGAACTGCGACAACGCCGAGTACGTTGTCGTAGGTCTGGTCTGGGGAGCAGGAGCCGCCGTCCGTGCACTCTCGCGTTCCCATCCAGCGAGCGAAAACACTGCGAGCCCCTCGCTTCCGCCGCTTTTTCCACACATGTCTGCCTCCGCAACTAGCAGACCGATGAATTTTTTACTTCACAGAAACAAAACAGCAGCTACGTTTTTTAAAAATCGTATTCTCTTTATAGTTTCTAATCGGTATGCAGAGGAGAGATGATTCGGGCCGTGTTATTGAGAAAGGTCGAAGCACCTTTTTATTCGTGGCCTGCAAGATTTTCTCTTTTTTTATTTTTTTGTGAGCCCCTCAGGTGTTAAGGGCAGGATGCTGCCTTGAAATTGTTGTGGTTTTACGTCTACATTTGGATGGAGTCTGGGTTGAATGCGCCTTTCCAGCTCATCGTTTGTTATTAATTCATGAAAGGAGTAGGGGAGGTAGGACACGCAGGTGCCAACAACCCCTTTGTGCTGTCGAGGCTAAATTATACACGGCGAAGGAAAAAGACGCCCGGGCGCTTCGTTTTCTTTTGATTTATTTTCATCCGATGCAAATTCAAGCTCGATCGATCAGGCTCTCCAAGCACTAAAATATAATTTTTTTTCTGGTCAAGATGGCTGCTCTTTTGTTTTTGGTTTCTTTCCCATCAAATTTTTATCACAATGGCGCGTAGATTTTCATTAAATTTTCATTTTGAAAGTAAAAATAGGCCAAAAAAATGAAAATTAAATTATATAATAATATTATTTCACTGTAAAGCCAACTGCTTTATATGATTTTAGAAATCCAATATTTCATTCAATAATTTATGGATTATTTTTACCTTCTTCTTTTTAGAGATTTTGAAGTTTCAACTGCCACTTTGTCAGCAGGAAAGGAGTTCCGCGTGCGTTTTGTGGCCGAGCTGCATTTTATTTGAAAAGGCCGTTGCGGCGACCGGGTCATATTTTATGTATGGGGCAGTCAATTTTTATGCATCGACTTCTCAAACCGCTGCCACGGCCGCTGCAAGTGGTACATTATTCTAATATGCATTTCCAAAGTGCTCGCGAGTCGATATATAAATCAGTGTCGCGGTGCGAGGCATTACCATTCAAATGAATGCATCTGGTCTGCAGTTGCAACAGCGTGTGCACCTTTCTGGGTGACTCGATGACGAACGAACCCAGCTGCAGACGTAACGCGCCGGCGGTTTACATTTTCAAACTGAAAGTTCAAGCCTTTGGCCTTTTTCAAACATGAATATAAAATCAAAGATATTTATTCAAAATGGTTTTAAAGACATTTGAAAATTTTCCACGTGCAGGATGGAATAAATTATAAAAATAGGTTAATTTTTATTCAAACTTATAAACAAATTTATGTTTCATACATAAAATATTAGCATTTTACAATAACTTCAATTTCCACATTTTCAATGAGTTGTATACAATTTGAAGAAAATGAAATCTAAATTAATCAGGTTTACGGTGACCTTCCATTTTTTTTTTTTTTTTTTTTTTTTTTATCAAATTTCCAAGGATTTTTATCCGCGCGTATAATGAGACTTTTATCGTTTTGTTTATGGACTTCAATTACAGTTTCAAGGAAAGTCGTAATTATAAAACTTTTTAAATGAAACCTGCAGACATAAAAGGTATAAAACCCGCACGTTTATAAATTGAAGCGGCAAAGTTTCAAAAATTAAAAGGAATGTTTTCACCTCTCTCTGCCGCGTTTATATTTCTCGCTCCATTTATCTCTCTCTTTGCTGATTCCGAGTGTGCATAACGCACCTGCATGTTAAACAAAATGAATCCGCGGGCTGTTATTGTTATATCTCATTGCACACGTCGTACGTTTTGCGGGCGGCATTAAACGCGAGTGCACTTGGCTGGATATGGCGCGCTAGAAGAGAATTTACGAGGTAAATAGAGAGACGCCGACGACCTGCGCGCTGTGAGGGCAATAAAGTTTTAAGAGTGACTTTATGCCACACACGGCCTGTGCGCCAAATTACAGCACCAAATTGAATTTTGATGACGACCTTCCATTATGATCCTCATTTATGTTTTTTTGCGGCGAAAGAGTACGAAAAAAGCAAAAATAATAGTCAGCTCAAATGAAATTAACGACACCGCGCAGTGGCCTTGGCTTTTTACTCTAATTATAAAGATAATTCCTGCGAATTCCATCCTCCTGCATTATATTGGATGTTGTTTTGGAAAGAGAGAAAATAACAACAGAGTGGCGCTCAAATAGCTAGAATGCGGCGCGGCGGCGACCGACGAATTATTGATCCCTTTTCAGAGAAGGAGAGTCTGTCTGGCTCCAGAGAGGCGAAATGTTGCCTGCTGCATGGCTTCCCGGCACCGACCTACCCCAACGCGGCCACGCTTACGCCAAAACAATCGCAACACCACGGCGGGGCCAGCGCAGATGCAAAAATAAATAAAGCACCACCTCGCGCGTATAAACATGCAGCGAACTGCACGCGCAGGAATAATAATCAAACGCTATTTCTGTTCTTAACGATCTCTTTCGAAATTTCGGCCAATTTCTCAAATCTGAAGCGTGACGACATTCATCCAGCAGCGAGTGTGGGAAATAAATTATTTTCGGAGCTAAATGAAGCAAGCTCGTGCGAAATCGATTATTTCCGGGGCGTTTCGCGACGCGCACGCCCTAAAAAATTAATAAAAAAATATGATGGGGAAAAGTGCATGCAGCTATAGAGTCATTTTTGACGTCACGTGGTTCACGATTATATCGACTGAAACGGCAGCCATCGAATTCGCGCAGTGTTGCCCGGACCTGCCTCAACGCGTCCAGGGAAACCGCACAAAATTCACCCTCCCGATTTAGCCATGGTGGCCGCGTGCGCGCGGCTTTGTGCACAAAACGGGGTCAAAGGCCTCTTGCAACTTTCCTTCGCAACTACGCAGCACTGCTGCATGGGCACACCCGCCCACTCTCTTCCTTTTGATCTTTGCGAAAATAGTGACTGGCGAAAAATGTAGTGGTTGGCAAGAGTGAATCGTGAAACTCGTCTCTGCTAGTGTAATTAAATTTCTTAAGACCATATCTTGATATTTCCACTTTTTTAGCTCTCATTTCTAAAGTCTTCAATCAGATATTAATTAACTGAAACAAATCGTGCAGTGATTTTTTTTAAATTCAATATTTGAAAATTATTTTATTAGCTATAAATTACTTTAAAATTGAGATTTGCATTTGTTTCCTGTGAGGAAATGAGCCCTGTTTAATTAAATAAATAATACACAAGTCACTTTAGTGTAAAAACCATATGGCGGCCTTGATTAATTTAAAAAAAAGATATAACCTTTCTGGTGAATATAATTTTCAAAACGTTCTAATGCAACGTCCAAGAGCAGCTGCAATTAAGAGCTTAATCATTTCCCCTCAAGAAAAGTCCGTTGAGAGTGGAAATGAACGGAAAAAGGTGCTGCGCATTCCACCTGCGAGCAATTGCAGCGCACCTGCACATGACAACCCTTATCAGCCGAAACGAGAGAGTTTCAGCTGCATCGAGTGCATTAACACCGAGTGCAGCTGATAAAAATAATCTGCGATGCACTCTTCAATCTTCTTCTTTTGCGCAGCGAATTTTCCACTTTGATAGGGAGAAAGAAGAAGAATGAAGGTGCGGCCGCGAGTTGCAGCGAGCGCCCCTGACACTGCGGCAGGCCCGCCCGACGCGCTCGACCTTGACTCGTCCTCTGGTCTCTTTCTTGCTTGAGACAACAGTGCTCGCATTACATACAAAGATCCCAGAGAGTGCAGCAGCCGAACCTATATTAACCAACCGACTGCATCTCCTCTCGATTTTTCTCCGAGCCGCACTCTCTTCAGAAAGAAAGAGAGAGATGCATTTCCCCCAGCCCCTGCATGCGCGTTTGATAAATTTATGGTGTAACGAAATAGATGCGGCCGGCGTCAATTTAGTTCCCTCTTTGGAGTCGACGCTTCCTCCTCACGGCCCTGCGCCAGATTCCTTTTTCGGGGCGGCTGTGACGCGGCCACGACTTCCTCCGAATTGTCACGCTCGGCAGGTTCGGTATCGGAATGAATCGGAGAATACGCCTTGACATTTTACTGCTAATTGAACACTGAACTGGCAACAATATTATCAACTTATTGAAAGAAAAAAAATATCAAAATATTAATAATGTATAAATATATATATATATATATATATATATATATATATATATATATATATATATATATATATATATATATATATATATATATATATATATATATATATATATATATATATATATATATATAATATATTTATACATTATTAATATTTTGATATTTTTTTTCTTTAATATATATATATTATATTTTTTTTAATTTTAAATAACAGTTTTGATCATAATAATTTTGTGCTTAAAATTCCAATCAATTTTCATTTACTTCTTCTTTTTGCTATTGAAGGTCGACGCTTCAACTTTAATTTGATTGGAGAGGAGATATTTAAGGGTCTTCATGGTCTAGCTGACATCCCAAAATTAATTAAGCCTTAATCTGCATATTGCACCGAGGCGAAGCAGTAGCAAGACAATCGGCTTACGGTTAGCTGCACTGTTATGCATATCTAAAGTCTCTCCTTCTTTTTTTCTCCTTTTTTTCGGTCGCTATAACTGCGTCTCTGCTCAAGTCTCGGCGCCAATTAAAAAAGCATTGCACCTGTCTCGCGAAGCCGAAGCGGAGCGAAAACCGCATTAGCGCGTCGGGCGCGAGAATTAAGGGCTCAGTCGGTGCAACGCTAAATTGTGTGCACTTTGGTGAGACGGAGGTAAAAAAAAAATTATGCATGCAGCGATGGACAGCTGACAAAAGTGTAGGAGAAATGGCTTCCGAGAGCTGTTAAGCTTCTATATTGTCCGCGAGTAAATAAATCGGAAAAAAATAAGTGGTCGGTAAAAAGGTGGAAAAAGCAAAGCTGCATTTTGAGCTACGTTCGAAAACTTATTAAGGAAAATATTTAAAAAAAACCTGAAGCCTAGTTATTTAATACAAATAAAAATTAGTTCAAAATATTAAGCCAATCATTTTGGAATGTTTCGGTTTTTAAAATGAAATAAATATTAAGTTAATAAATTTTCGTCTGTTTGTGGTATCAAATAATATTAGACGCTGATTGGCTGACCTTGTACCATTTACATTGTTCCTTTTTAACCCTCACCTCTAGTTCATAATCAAGGGTACCTGAGGAGAGCGAGTTATAAATGCAATGGAAGGCAAGATGTGGGCTTACCTGCAATAACTGCGACGAGAGTCTCCGCTGCTCGCATGAAGACAAATGAGCTCTGCAACACAAGAGAGACGTTTCTGTGAACCAATTGCCTTGCAAATGCAAATCGCCGCAAATTTATCGGCTGCACTGACGCGCGCGACACCAAGGCCAAATTTCATTTTCCTACTAGAAGTAGGAATGCAAATTCCTTTTCTAAGAATAAATATAGACGACACTATAAAAATTTAAATTTAAAAAAAAGGAAAGAAAAAACTTGTTACGCCCGGACGTGGTGCATAACATTTTTAATGATTGTCAAGTTGAATGTTGGTCTCGTTAAACATTATTATCGACCTCGTGAGTGGCGGCGGCGAATGTTTTTGCCAGCAGCAGGCCGATTGAGGACACATGTTTGATCTTGAGAGCGCCGCCATCTGAATTAATATTTGACCAGCAGCTCCCCCGTCCGTCTGTCCGACCGATTCGGTCACTTTTATTTACCCTTTCCATAACGTATTTCCATATCGCATCTGATTTGTTTTCCTTCATCTACCCGTAAGAAAGAGAAGTGAGAGGACAAAGCGACCAAAATGTTGTCTCGGCGAGCAGCTGCTGGCCGCCGCTTTTTGTTCTGCGTCTTCCTCTCCAATTTTTTGCGCCCAAGGTCTTTTTACGAATGTAAAAAGAGTGTCCTTTGGCCGTGTGAAAACTTCATTTTACTTTTATGGGCTTTGTTTATATTCCAAGCGAGTGTCTTCCTGTGCAGAATTAATTTGCGACCAGATGAGGTCTTGTGTGTGAGAAAAAAATTGTCAAAAGTATAAAATTTTTCACGGCGGTTTTCCTCTTATTTTTAACAAAAATTAATTTTCGGCATTAGTGGGCGCAGCCGAAAGATGGAGCGTCGCAGAGGAAGTTACGCAAGCTAGACAGATGGAGCCAGGTTGGTGGAAGACGCGCTCACTGCTGCACCATTCATTTATAAACTCACTCTTGCCGTTGACCTCATTTCGGCGCTTGGCTCTTCGGACCGGCGGGCCGACCCGAGCTCGCAAAACTGAAAAACTTTTTCACCTCGCGCACGCCGCGCAGCATTTGAAAAAGTGGAAATTGATTCGCTTTTCGGTGGCAGAGATTGAAAAAAGCCGTTCTGACGAGCCGTTTTTCGAGTGAGGCGGCGCATACTAAATTTACAACTGCGACTTCTGTCCTATTTTACTTTCACTGAGCGCATAAAATGGTCATTTGTTGTGTGCGAGAGCCGACCGAGTGGCGGGGCTAGGCAGCAGAGCAGCTTTCATTATTCACCGCAGGCGAAACGAGAGGCTTTCGGTTTCACTCTCCAGCCGCATTTCTCTCTTACATCCAGCCGTGGAGCCTTCGCCAAAACTCGATTTCTTACTCTCATTTGAGACCAAATCAGCGAATGAAAACACCATTCTTTTGAAACAAGCCAAGTTATCAATTTCACAGATCTCAGCAGATTTCTTATGCACTTAATTGAGAATTAAAATTAATGTATGTTTCATTATATAAAATTTGGTTGGTTTGGTTGGAAGAAATTTAAGTAATTTTCAGAATTATTAAATGGGCAAATTTTAAGTGAAAAAATTTATGCTACTTGCTGAAAATTAGAATATTTTGAATGGATAATTATAAACAATTTTGATCCCACGCAGCTCCTGTTAGTTTTTTGTTTAACCCCTCGCAGCATGTGATCTTTCGGCGCACCCTCGGCCGTGTTTATTTATTATCTTTATAACGAGATATGAATGTCGCGCACGGCTTCTTCTCACGCTGCGCTTGTTTACATCTTTGTACAGTTCAGTCTCGCCAAGCGTCGCCACCCGAAATTGGCGGTGCTTGGCCCTTGAATCGGCGCTTGATGACGGCCCATTCAAGCGCGTTGGGGGTTGAACGACGGACTGAAAGGGGTTTTGAGAGCTCGAAGCCAACAGGGGGCGCCGCAAATTCGCGAAACCTTGAATCAAAAGTGAAGAGTCAACAACTTGTGCGGGTTCACTACACCCCTGAAAGAAAATTTCGCCTTGATTTCCTTTCAGAAATTCGAGTAATTTTCCTTATGTAGACTATTGAACCCGAGAGCTTTCTAGAAATAGAAAAAAGAGAGGAAACGGCACTCGTTAGGGTGGAATTCCAGACGCACTCCTATACAGGGAGGGTGAAGAGAGCAATTAAAAATAAGCTTGCAGCACACCCTTCGTCTCTGCAGCCCCAACACAGAGAGGAATCTTCAAGCGCAGGGAGTTTTAATTTGTCTGAAAGCCTAGACTAAACGATTTTTTGAGTGGCTTTTAAAAATGGAGGGATTTTTTTAAAATTTCATTTCAATAAAAATTTTGTTTAAAAATTTTTTAAGTTAAAAATTACTAAATTGAAACAGATTTCATGATGCTGAATCAACCGTTCAAAATGAATAAAAATTAATACATGTTTTTTTTTCTCTTCCTAATTTTCTCTCTATTATTTTTAATACATTCAGCGTTTTGACATAAACGAGTATGACTTTGCCTCATTTATTAACTGCTTTTTTCCCTTCATTTTCCTCCAGTCTGTTATCATGGTGTCAAGACTGGCCTCCGGGACACACGTTATAGAGTCTGATGGGATTAATTTAGCCGGCGTCAACTTTTCCACGAGTTCACATGGCTGCAGGCGTCTGCTTTGCTCCACAATGTCACGACAAGCCGCTCCTCGTCTTGCAGCTCACGCTCTCTGATGCAATTTTTCTCTCCATTCAATTCCGCGCACTTTGTGCAATTGCTTCCACCACTTTTGCAAATAAATAAAATTATACCCTTAAAGATTTTTCTCTGCGAAATTCCCATTTTAAAAGTACTGCCCTTCACCGCGGAGGAAATTTCTTTATATAGTTGAAGAAATAATATATAGTTTTTTCCCTTTTTTTACAAAGCCATCGATGGAAGTGTCGCTTTGTTTTGAGACAAGTCGCTCGCCTCTATTATGTTGATCTGTCAACTGTGCACTTGCAAATGCCGCGTGGCGTTATATTATTACTATTATAATGCGAGAGACTTCTTGCTAGTGCAAGGTCAACAATGAACACATATAGATAGACCTACAAAGCGGCGACTCGCGGTTCGGTCGGCGGCGATGAGCAGTGCACTATTTGCGGCACCACGTGTGCCTGCGCAAAGCCGACAAACTTAATTTTAGCGACTGGCGCAATTTTCTCAAAACAAATCGGCGAGAGGTGCAAGCAGGAAGATCAGATCGGTGCGACTCAATTCGGTCGGCGGATATTGACATTGTGCCAAGTGCGAGTCGCATTCAATTGTAACCACGGACTAATGATTTATTCGAGAAATGATGACTTTGCGCCGCGCGAATGTGCAAAACAGCATGTTGCTTTTTATTGTTTCAAATTAAGTTCTCACAATTTGGCAGCCTTATAGAGTAAATTTCTCAAATAAACATCTGCTTTTAACTGCCTCGCTCGAAAGTGCGCGGCTCGGTGATGTGAATGTTTATGTGGTGGAGGATGCGTGGCCCCCAACGTAAATTGTGAGTCGCGGGCACAAGAGCGAAGTAGGTCATACTTACACCAGCACATTATGACACCGAGATAACCGCGCGTGAACTGACTGAGAGCGAAGAGCAATGCTTTCGAATCGAAACAACACACTACTGCCAACCGAATTTAGCTTGGCGAGCAAAAATAAAAATTTAATTTGTAAAAAAAATTTACTCTTTTGGCTGAACACCAAAATTCAGTTAAAGACAATTGAGAGAAATGTTTTGAGCAGTTGCATGTTGGTAATGATGCTCTTTAAGAGAATGGACGCCAAAAGGTGCATCAGTCTCAAGGTTTCGTGATATGCGTGCATGGGAACATAATTTTCAGTCCTTCCAGCAACCTCCAGAGAATTGTGCACTTCCAACGCTTCTTGTTTTGATGCAAGCAAATTTTACACATACGCGTTGATGCTTTTATAATTGCACCTGTGCTGTCATTAACCTCACAGAAAAATTATATGAATTAATAAAATTAGTATCAAAATAACAAGAAATAATAATAAAAATATTCAGCAAATTAAGAAAAACGTTTTAATGAAGGTTTATTCAATTTTTTTTTAATGTTCTAAGTTCTAGTCAGCTATAATTTTATCAGAAGTTGTTATCATTAACCGGTCATCAACGTTGCTGGGTTGCCATATTATATGCGTGATAAGGTCAAGGACAATAAAGTCATTGACATCATCCGAGCGTTAATGATTCATTTTTACAAATTCAAATGGAGGCTTTTTCACTTCAATTTTTGATTTAATTGCTTTGCTCAGGTGTGAGGAAGTGAAGCTGGGTCGCCGCCCAAGTGCAATTATATTATCGCAAGAGATGCTCGTCTAATGACATCACCGAGAGACTCCTGGCGGCCACGCCCCCTCGATTCTTCCGCAGCATCGCCGTGCAATTGCATCCTTAGCCGGCCTCGCCACTCGGCGACGAATGCATCTCGAATTGCGACACGAAAGCAGACAGCATAATAATGTGCAAGGCGAGGGCAAAAAGAGAAGAATGAGATGGTGGAAAAAATAGCTGTCGGCTCAAATTGCGATGCACGTTGCATGACCAGACTTATGCACATGCACACACTCGCTGGGCGGCCGGAAAGACGAGGCGACCGAAGGGGTGCAAAATATATAACTGGGTTGTTATCCACTTGATTGTTTTGTTTAAAAGCTAAGCCCTAAGAAATTATAAAAAATTAAAAACAGAAAAAGCATGATTTGCTTTGAGAGAATTTTTATTTTTGATAAACGGTTTATGAATTTTGAATTCAAATTTTTTTTTGCTATGGATAGGTTTTTTCCACACAGTTTTCGAAGCATATATTTTTAAAAAATTTTAAAATGAAGTCGGAATTGAAAAGCACAGCTTGAGAAAATATTCTGCTTAAAAACAAACTTGAACAATCTAAAACAAATAAAAATTTAATTAATATATTGTTTCTCAAACAATTGCAAAAAGCTTGTTGGCGTTTTGTAATCTCAGTCTATTTTTTAGCAGCGGACTAGGTACACTTGCAAGTTG